TACAATGGAGACTATAGGTAAGGTATTTACTCATAGGAAGCAGGGGGCCAGGGGGGGCATGATCCATGGGTAGAGCGCAGTTGAATTCAGTTGTTCGGCAAATTCTGCAATCACAGCTGCGCTTTTTTCAATGTAGTGAGTCCGGCAAGGGCCTTGTCGGCCTCTGGATGGCCGGATCATACTTACTTTAGATGCCTGGGCTACTAGCCAGGACTTGCAAGTCTCTCTGTAGTTGTGCTTCTGCTGATAAGTTTTCATCTTCGAGGGCGTCTTGAATCCGTTTCAGTGGCCCTTAGAGTGAACCGTTGCTCCATCCGTATCAAACTGTCATGACTGGCAACAAGCAACAGGAGAAGTCACAAGACATTTGATGTTGGAAGAACTGATACCCTTGGCACTTTAAATCTTAACTCTCAAGCAAAACGAATGGACAACACAACCATAAGCTATGAGACATAACTTGCACAAGTTTTCTAAGCATCACCACAAGTACGGTGCGATACCCTACATCAGGTCCTTTGCAGTTTTTTTGCGACCGCCGATCTCGTCGAGTTATTTCTTCGTGAGCAGGTACACGGACTCCATGAAACCTTAGGTCGACGATTCCCTCGCTCCTCATCACGTTTTGGGAGTTCGGTTTTGGAAGTTTCTGTTTCAGATGGCTGCAAGGTTTGGTGGCTTGGGAGCCCCTGTATACCGAGCACTCTTGAACATCTGAAAGCATTCAAGTCTTTAACATCCAAAAGCCGAGAATGAGACGTTTGCAGCACAAGATTGAGATAGATACAATATTGCTGTTCCCTGTCTATTCGAGTCAAACAGCACCTCCGCACGAAATTCAGGTTGTGATAAGGTTCTCCTGCGATCCTGCAGTCCTTACTTGGAGGCCCAGGGGACNNGGTTAGAAGTAGAGTTATAAGTACCCTAACTGGAGTTACCCCAATTATAACCCTACTTATAACCGACTTACTAAGTCCCCTGGGCCTCCAAGTACAGTTCCCTAAACCCTAAACCCTAAACCCTAAACCGAGAACATCCGAGGCTTTGTCTGCAACCCAAGCCACGAGTGGCGCCCCGCGCCCTCAGCGCTTCGTCCAGGGCGTCAGCGCTGCCCAACCGCTTCAAAGCGAAGCGGCCACCGAAATACTTCTGCCTGGGTTAGGGTTTAGGGTTTAGGGTTTAGGGTTTAGGGTTTAGGGTTTAGGGTTTAGGGTTTAGGGCTTTGGGTTTACGGTGGAGCATTTCGGAACGATGTTCGGGGTCTCCACCAGTTCTCCAAGGGATTTAATTAGCTTGGGCCTGCGGTTGCTTGCTTCGGTTGATACTCGCCTTTACATGGCTTCACATCCTACCTGGGTCACACCACATGTGTGTGCGAAGATCCGCAGGTGCATCTCAAACCTTCGTGCGAACTCTCAGGCTAGCGATGGATATCATAAGAATGCACGACCACGCAGAAGCATCCAAAACTGTCATCTCTGGAGTGGGGCACCAGCAGATACCCTGCGAACCTAATCAATCAACCATCGGTACCAGAACCCCAAGCCCTGACTCTCAATTACTAAAACCAGACCCACGTCCCCAAGCACTCTCCAGGAGCTGAGAGCAGCGCAATTCTTCGGCCGTGACCTGCCACGTTTGTCTTCAACCCGGACCCTAGGGTTTAGGGGTTTAGGGCTTAGGGTTTAGGGTTTAGGGTTTAGGGCACCAACACCTGCTGGCAAGGAATGCCGGAATCCCGATCAAGGATAGTACCCCTATACCAGGACGCCCTTTGCCTGGTAAGGCGGACCGCGCTTTCCGCCGGCAAAGCCGTCATGCTCCACAGCCACGAGCAGGATGCGCCCGCCCGGAGCCATCAAATGACCCAACCTGCGATGCTAGCATCCGGATCAACATAGTTTGGGGCTACTCTAGTCGTCAGGTCTTACCAGGCATTTGCAAGTTTCACTGGCATATAGCCCAGCGGCGTGTCAGCATACAGCTGTCTGTCACTGGGCTCCACGGCCACAAAGCCACCACGATCGAAGGCCGCCTGTTTGGGGAGGTACAGCACACTGTGCCAGGAGCAACAAAGTCGAAACCGGCGACGAACGTGACATAACCGCAAAGCCCAGAACACCTCGGAACCTCCTTCGACAGAACGGAAGGCCTCCATTTTCTATCTGCCTCGTGTGGCAACGAAACCCCGAGTACTTCAACCGTCACATGCGACCTCTGAGGATCTCCCAATGCAACGGGTCAAGGACTCGAGATAGAGCTTCAGCCTACCCAGTCCAGTGATGTCATCCTGTGCTGGTTAAAAACCTACGTCAGCTACACCCCGCATCCCAACTTCTGATAACGGTAAGCCACAATCTCAAAGCTACCACTCCCTATAGAACCCCAAACAGCTGAAAGCCAAATCCAGGAAACCCGTATCCGTGCCCGGTGCCTAAATTGATAGACCCTGAAACCTAATCGCTGAGCAATATCCCTGATGTTCAAGACCCTTCTAAGACCAGAATCCCTAGAAACTATAATATTCAGCCACATCAAACCCTGAAAAAAAGAGCCCCATATATGAAACCCCTGAGCCCTAGATTCCGTCCTTCCCCGGGTGCGGCCTCGAAAGGGACTAATGCCTTGGCCTGCTCGGGGCCAAGTCCCAGGAAATCGCCTGAGGAGAACTTCCCGGAGACACCCTTTACTTGGAGGCCCAGGGGACTTAGTAGGTGGGTTCGAAGTAGAGTTATAAGTACCCTAACTGGAGTTACCCCAATTATAACCCTACTTATAGCCGACTTACTACGTCCCCTGGGCCTCCAAGTAGGGCTTAGGAAGTTGGGGGTTGAGACCATGGCGCACGGAATTGTACCACAGAGGTCTCCGTAGTATCCTTGTGATAAATTATACTGAGACCTTGACAGTTGTATTGCTTGCACGCCTTTCCTCCTCCTCCTCCTCCTCCTCCTCAGCATCATCCGGATGCAGGCCTGCTCTCCTCTTTCCAGATGCTACATTGCTCACGCTTGCAGACACTCCGCAAGAAGCAACCTAACGTAGGGGCCTTAATCATTAGAATAGGGTTTTGGTGTGTATGAACCAAAAACTACGAGGAGGAGGCTGGCAAGACCGGTAAGACTGTATGGAGCTTCAGGGAACCCCCAAGGCAAACCCACAAGGGCTGGCCTTCCACGAAGATCACCGGTGGAGGAGGCTCGTGCCTAGCAGCTCGTGGAAGCGGCAACAAACTTATGCATAGTCTCCATTGTAGTTCCTTTTTTGGTTTAACCAATTTTATATTAAGGATTTTATAAGGTATCCCCAAAAAAGGAACTACAACGGAGACTATAGGTATGTAAGGTGTCTGAAATAAGTAGGATCCTGGACACCGTATTTCTGGAACTCCTGCGTTGGGGCTGGCTTGTGCTTAGATGCATTCGTAGTTGCTTGTGTTCTTGAGATGCCGAGGACTGCGTCGAGCTCAGAGTATCGTTTCAAGATAAGCCTTCGCACACTCCACAGGCTTGGATCGAAAGACTGACAGCTCTCTTAGGTGCCGGAACACATTTTTGGGACAATGATACAGCAGCAAACCAGAAAGGTATCCACATCCTCATGCGCAGCAGTGCGGCCTACCTCACGCCCCCAGCCTAAGGTCAAGGCGACTCCAACTGTACAGTTTCTTTCTGAAACAAACCTGGCCTCCAAGTCGGGAGACCGTGCGGACGGTGGTCAGCATGACACCCTAAACCCTACAACTCCTACAACTCGTTCAGCTGACTCGTCCATGCTTCGAGTCGCCCGCAGAGGAGGACAAAAACATGTTTTGGCTTCTGTATTGGCACCCCAGACCAAACGGGTTTGGGGCCCTGTCTAAATCGTACAAGTAACCCTGAACCCCAAACCCCAGAGCCCCAAACCCTATAAACCCAAAGAGAACCTTCAAAGGAACCCTAAAAAGAGCCCCAAAAGGAAACCTAAAACACACTTTTTTGAAGATCCTAACGGGAAAACTTAGCCCTAAACCCTACACCCTAAACCGCATAGATGCCTGGATCCATCCTCTGGTCCGGCAGGAATGAGCACCGCATGTCCCCGGAAGCGACTTGGGTCAAGCTCAGGCGGGAAGTTCACGTGCATCGTCGGCCCTGCGAGGCTTTTCGAGGGGTTTGGGTTCAGGGTTATGGTTCAGCCATGGTTTAAGCTTAGAGACAAGGCCTTACAATGAAGAGGTTTTCTGGGTTTAGGGTTGTCAGGTTGAAGAGGCCCTGTAAAAGGCACTGTGAGGTTGAGTGTGCACTTTAACATCTACCATGGCCAACATGTTTGTTGGGTCCTAAATTTATGCCCGTGGATGCAACTTGACAAAAACCAGGTTCTGCTGGTTAGGGTCTGGTTTAAAAATCTAGGATTTGAGAAGCCAGTTGAGAGCCCTTTTAAGTTTATGCTGAGGCCTTGAACGGCTTGGGTGGACTTAAGGGATTTTGTGACATTGCAAGCAAGTTTTAAGAAGAGTCGCTAATATGATAGCCCCAATCAGGGTGAACCTTGGCCCTTGAAGTTATCCGCAGTGTTGCCTGCTGCTTCGGCTGGAGTCATAGTAATAGTAATAGTAGTCCTAAGAGTAACAGTGGAACTAAGTACAAACTTGACAATGGTGGTAACCGCGACCATAATGGTAATTCTGATAGTTCTAACATTCGTGATAATCGTAATAGCCGCAATGATCATAGGCATGTTGCTAACAGTATCCAAACGATAACAGAAATAATGGTAACATTAACAATACAAGAACAGGGCAACCATAGTAACAACAGTGGCACTAGTGCGTCATCATAACATTAGTACTAATCTACTAGTATGTAATAAGGAATCGTAATAGTGATAACTCAAGTCCCTTAACCAAAAGGCAACCCCAACGCCTACAATGCAGACTCCCCAATTTCCCATAGTGAAAGCTCGAAACTCATTGGCATTGGTTGAGGTCGCAAGTTTCAGGATTCGGTAACTCAGGCACGGTTTAGGGTTTAGGGTTTTAGGGTTTTGGGGTTTGGGGTTTCGGGTTGCGGACGGGTATTCGTCGCCCCACACTTTTGCAAGAGAGCCGCCTTTGGCAGTGGGCACCTTCAAGCCGAAGTCCTGGGGTGTGATCTGAGGTGTGAGGCAGCTGAGCATTTACCCAGATTTCCGGGAGGATCCAAAAAGCAGATCCCTTAATGGGCGGTTCCTATAAAGAGCCCTTAGTAGTATAGGGTCCCAAACTAGAGGATCTACTTTCTAGATCCTTCCGCGGG